CCCCCTGGAGGTGCCCCCCATCCGAGCCTGGGCTGAGGGGGCCCATCGCACCGGGCCTCAGGCTTCCTGCCGTGCGCACATCGAGGCAGAGGGGGCTCAGCCTGCCCCAGGCCCCCTCCTCCCCAGCCACTAACCTGGCCCCCTTGTCCCTCTGTGGCATCAGGCTCGCAGCCCCCGCCTGACATGGGGGAAACTGAGGCACAGAGCGGCAAAGGGACTTGGCAAAGGTCACACAGGGGGTGAGAGACAGAACCGGGAAGGGAGCCCAGGAGTCCTGCCTCCCAGCCCCTGCTGCTCTAACCACTAGACTCCACTCCCAGAGCCAGGGAGGGAACCCAGGAGTCCTGCCTCCCAGCCCCTGCTGCTCTAACCACTAGACTCCACTCCCAGAGCCAGGGAGGGAACCCAGGAGTCCTGCCTCCCAGCCCCTGCTGCTCTAACCACTAGACTCCACTCCCAGAGCCAGGGAGGGAACCCAGGAGTCCTGCCTCCCAGCCCCTGCTGCTCTAACCACTAGACTCCACTCCCAGAGCCAGGGAGGGAACCCAGGAGTCCTGCCTCCCAGCCCCTGCTGCTCTAACCACTAGACTCCACTCCCAGAGCCAGGGAGGGAACCCAGGAGTCCTGCCTCCCAGCCCCTGCTGCTCTAACCACTAGACTCCACTCCCAGAGCCAGGGAGGGAACCCAGGAGTCCTGCCTCCCAGCCCGTGCTGCTCTAGGCCTCACCCAAGAGCTGGGGAGGGAACTCGGGAGTCTTGCCCGCCCAATCTCCTGCTCTAACCACTAGGCCCCACTCCCAGAGCTGGGGAGGGGACCAGGCTGCTGTAGCCCCCGGGGGGTGCACTGGTCCCGCTGACAAATTCCTGTTTCCGCCCCTGGAGGGAGAGGGCCCGGGAGGAGCCGCTGGCGGAGGCGCAGCGGGAGTTGATGAAGGCGACCAGGGAGCTGGGCGAGGTGCGGATCACGGCCTGCAGGTCGATGCTGGCGTCGGACAGCGGCGAGATGGACAGCGCCCGCTTCTTGGTCAGCTTGGCCGCGCTGCGGGGCGTGGAGAACCGGGACTCTGGGCCAGGCAATGGAGAACTGGGGCTGAGTGTGCGCCCCGCCCTGGTCCCCATGCCCATCTCCCCCAGTGGGCGAGGCTGGCACACAGGGGTTGGGGCATCTGCTGGGAATCCCTCCCCTTTGCCCACCCCTAAGCCTGGCCCCCGGGCACCGACCTACCATCGGCATGTCCGGCATGTTCGCTGCCCGGCACCAGCCCGTACCCACGGGGGTTGCCCACCAGGCTGGCCTGGTGGCACATGGGGAAGTCGCTCAGCCCTGGAATGAAGCAGGGAAGAGAAGGGGGGTCGTGAATCCTGGGTAGACCGCTCCCCAGCAGCGTCGCTAACCAGTGAGACACCCGAGGTCTGTGCCCGAGCCACCCGGTTTAGGGGTGTCAGGACAAATGGGGCCACGTTCTTCAGTTGCTGGTTTTGGGTCCATCCGCATCATGCCGGGGGGGATGGAGGGACGGTTAGCTCGAGCCACAGAGAGGGGGACGGACACACAGACAGAGGGGGTACGAGACAGGGGATGGATAGATGGGAGTGTGGGGCAGGCGAGGGATGGGTGAAGGGTAGGATGGGCAGAGAGGAGGTGTGTGTGAATAGATAGATGCAGAAGAGGTATAGGTGGGGGGGATAGACGGACAGGTGCAGGGTGTGGGGCAGGGGAGGGATGGAGGAGTGGAGGCTGGGACAGGTAAGGGGGCACAGAGAGGGGTGGGGACCACAGCTGGCAGCCAGCCCCCCACAGAACCC